ACAGCAGGAACGAGCGGTGTGGGTGCAAAGCTTGAGGCTGTGGAGCAAATCTGTCTTTGCAGTCCAAGCCAGTGCTCACAAGTTGGAGCGCGCCAACAAACGCTATCCCGAGCATACCGAGACTTTCAGGGCAATGTCCATGAGAATGGCTTCAATCCTCTCACAGACAGCCGTTGCGGCAACGGATGTTCCTCAGGACTTGAAAGCTGCCTTGGAAGTTCAAGCGGTCATCGTGCAGAAGAACGTGACCAAGGTGTCGTCAGAGAAACATTTCGCAGGCCAGGCGTTCTTGATTGCATTCATGTGTTCCATTCATTGCTTGGGTGAGCTTGTGCTTCAGCTTTTCATGCTGGTGCTGTTCGATTGACGATGAGTGGATCTCGGGAGGTCATTGCTGTGCCATTGAGGGCAATGGCAGAGCATCTGGGGGCAACTGATTTGAAGTCGGCCAGGGACCTCCTGAATGCACTCGATGAACCCAAGCTGGCCAAGCTCATCAGCAACGGAGTCAAGGTGTATGCCACGAAGACTAGCAAGGCGTGGCACAGTCTACCGATTTCGAACATGTTTCTTAGCATTTGCTGCGTGCGTGCCTGTTGATCCAGACTCTAGACATGGCCTGACCTGACCAGGGTGACGCTCTTTACATACCTTCTGCCTACATCTTTGCAGAGAGGGTCGTTGGCGCCTCACCGTGGATGGGTGTGCGGGCAGGTGCTCTAGTTGCTTCATTGTCGTTGCAAAGTGACCTAGATTGGCTCATGACTGGATGGGCCAAAGATGATGAGGTGGTCAGACTGTTGCGATCGTGTGTGCAAACTCAGATGGCTGCTGGTGTGCAAAGTGGGGTCCCATCAAAGCAAGCAGAGCAGGAGGCGCTCACCCAAACACAAGCAGACAAGCAAGAGCAGCACAAGGATGAGCAGGAGGCAGCGCAAAGGAAGGCGGCGGAGGAGGACAAACGCAAGCAAGAGGAGCAGGAGGCAGCCCAAAGGCAGCTGGAGGAGGAAAAGCGCAAGCAAGAGGAGCATGAGGCAACGCAGAGGAAGGCGGCGGAGGAGGACAAGCGCAAGCAAGAAGAGCAGGAGGCAATGCAAAGGAAGGCGGCGGAGGAGGAGAAACGCAGACAAGACGAACATGAGGCAGCGCAAAGGCAGATGGAGGAGGAAAAGCGCAAGCAAGAGGAGCAGGAGGCAAAGCGCAAGCAAGCAGAGCAGGAAGCCATTGCAAAGCAAGCAGCGGAAGAAAAGCGCAAGATGGAGAAGAATCCGCGGGATGGGGATGATGGCGTCACTGAAGTTGTGGACTTGTCGTGATGAGATTTTTTCAGACCAAGATGAGCAAAAATCTCGGCATTGAGGGGGTCCAGGTGTCTGCGAGCAAACCAGTTCTGCAACAGACGTGTGAAAGGTCCTAGTCCTAGCCCATGGCTCGCAGTCGCCTGATTATGTGCAGATATCTGCGTGCGCCAGAGTCTGCCGTGGGTTTTATTTTTGTGTGTCCTGGCTTTTGCCTGAAACTTTCATGGCCTTCATGTTTTTCGGTTCGTTGAACCTAGATTCTGGACCTAGATATGGAAGCTTGCTGGCACCAGTTGATGGCAGCGACTTCTCAAACTGGCAGGAGTTGATGTGGTTGGCGTACTTAGACGCTAAAGTTTGCCTTCATGAGTTGATGATGACCTGAAGCATGTGTCCAGGCCAAGTAGACAGGCCAAAGCCAACATTTTCCCATTTCGTTGCAAGCGCTGTGAGACTGCGGGCAGCCATGTTCGCTTCCAGGGTTGGAAGGTGTGACTATCTAATCCTGCTTGAGGGAGTGCTCGAAGCTTGCTGCCTGCAGCTGGCGGCTTTGCGCAACAAACAATCCACTTTTGCGTCCTGCCGACTGTGTGTGCAGTG